GATTTTATCAATAAGAACTTTTAAGATTCCTGCTACACTAAACCTCTGAAGCTGTAAGCTATTCCAATTGATGTTTCCCTTTATAAGAGCTCCCTTGGTCATGGTGTCTCTTCACAGCAATAGAACCCCTAACTAAGACAGATGTTGGTACGAGTGACTGAGATATTGCTGAGATAGGCCTGACCATGCTTTTGTTTGAAGGAATATGGACCTTGGCATTGTGCATTATGAAGAAAATTTGAACACTTTAAGTCCTGCTTAATAGGCTCTCCTAGTTGGAAAATGGAAGACAGTGGTGCTGAGTGTGATATGAACTGTGGGTTACTCCAACAAAAGGATTCAAAGAAGAGTGTTAGCATGTGGCCTAGAGACTAGTCCTGTGAAATCTTGGTGAAGAATGTGGCTGCTTTTTGCCCTTATCCAAAAATTCTGTCTGAGGCTTAAGTGAAGAGTTCTATATTAATTCAATTGACAGAGGAAATCTCAAAACAGCTTAGTACAGGCTCTGTTGTGTGGTTGTTAGTGGTAACACAAAATGAAGATTTTTTTTAATTAATTTTTTTTTCATTTTACATTCACAATTCTAGTTTCCCCTTCCTCACATTCTTCCTCTCCCCCCAGTCTCACTCCCCATCCACTCCTCAGAGAGGACAAGGCCTCCCTTGGGGAGTCAACAAAGTCTGGCATACCAAGTTGAGGCAGGAACAAGCACCTCCAGCTTGCATCAAGACTGAGCAAGCTACCCCACTATAGGGAATGCGTTCCAAATGAAAAAGAGCAAGGTGAGCAAGGAAAAATACAAAATATATAATTGGGGGAGAAAAGAAAGACCAGGAAGTAGAATGGAGTTAAGTCCTGTGTTCAAGGAGATAAACAGATTAAGAAATGGAATAAAGGGAGTGGTGACCTCAGGGCAAGATCCCATCTGGCTAAGTTCCCAACTTGTGAAAAGGAATTACAGAAAAGCTTAAAGCCAGGTTTCATAGTGCATGCCTTTAATCTCAGCACTAAGAAGGCAGGGGCAGAAAGATTTCTGAGTCTGATACCAGTCTGATTCTACAGAACAAGATCCAGGATAGCCAAGCTTAGGCAATGAAGGAAACCATGGAAAACAGAAAGTTGGTAAACATGTAATTGAACAAGGGGGCCATGTTCCAGCCCCAGCAAGCAGCAGAACTTGCCAGCTTTGTCCACATGCTTAGAGTCAAGGAACAAATAAGAAAAGCCACTGAGGCTAAGCTTTTTTCAGGGGTGTCTTTGAATGGAGGCCTAGAGAGAGCATTGTGTGGTGCTATGAAGGTGAAGCCTGGATTGCTTTAGAGATCCCAAGATGTTGGAAATGCCAGAGCCATAGAATACCTGCCAAGGAGAGCTGCTAACAGGGAGTGGAACTAGCCCCAGAGAAAGAAGTGTGTTGCAGACAACAAAGTTGAAAGGAACTGGAACTATAAAGAGTGTTTTGACATCAGACATGGAGAAGCAGAGTTTGGAGTTTGCCCAGCTGGTTTTCAGTCTTGCTTTGGCCCAGTATTTCCTCACTATTCTCCCTCCCCTACATTTTGGAATGGCATTGTATATCCTGTGCCATTATATGATGATAGTATGTGATCTGTTTTTTTTTATTTTGATTTTACAGGGCATTATACTGCTAAGTTTTATGAATTCTTTTATATTTTGGATACCAGTTGTCTTAGTTAGAGTTTCTATTGCTGTGAAGGGACACTATGAATATGGAAACTCTTATAAAGGAAAAACATTTAATTGGGTGGTTTACAGTTTCAGAGATTTAGTCCATTATTGTCATGGTGGACATGGCAACATGCAGGAACACATGGGGCTGGAGAAGGAGCTGAGATTGGAGAAGGTACTATATCTTGATCCCATAGACAATAGGAAGTGATCTGAGATATTGGGCATAGTATAAGCATATACAAAACCTCAAAGCCCACCTCCACAGTGCGGAACTTCTTCCAAAAGGCAATATCTACTCTAACAAAGCCACACCTCCCAATAGTGCCATTCTCTATGAGCTTATGGGGGCAAATTACATTCAAACTACCACATTATACTCCCTGGCCCTCATAAGCTTTTAAGAATACTATAATGCAAAATGCATTTAGTCCAACTTCAAAAGTTGCATAGTCTATTACAGTCTCAACAATATTTTAAAGTATAACATTCAAAGTCTCTTCTGAGATTCATGCAATCTCTAACCAGAAGTAAAACAACTCAGTTTTGAAACTGGGCAACAGAGCTGAATAGAAATCTCACTTTAGAATACACAGGTGAGAAGTTGGCACAGCAAAGGACTGTCAGCAACACATGCCATCAAGGAACTGAAAATTCAAGAGCTAGATACCAATGTACACCCTTCAGCAGAGCTTATTCCCAGGCCACCAACACCAAATGTAAGTGCGGTGAGAGATGGCAGATATGTCATGTTATTTATTTTTGAAAAGGAAAGATGGCACAGCCACTTTGGAGGACAGTTTCTTACAAAGCTGTAAATAATCTTTGCCATGTGCCTAGCATTTGACCTAAGGACAGGCATGTTAAGCATGCATTTCATTAACAACTATAATCAAAGTATGGAAAATGCTAAATATGAACTAGACTACTGAAATAACATTTGGACTTATATTACCTGGATAGAGGGTACACTGTGATAATTATTAAGAGTACAAAGTCAGTTTTATTGATATTAGTAACAGACAAATGCTTGTTTTCTTCACAAAATACAGGATAAAATAAATTGAGTCTATGAATACTGTTGAAAGGGTAAGCAAAAGCATATCATATCAGTAAGCAAGCTACACACTGCAAGAATATTAAGAAGGGAATGCATTCTTCATGTAGAAACAGGCCTTATCAAATGGGTTCCCAAACATGATTTACCTGATCTGATAGAGACATTTTAAATAATTCTGTCAATAATATGGTTGAATTTTCTTTAAGTAGTTTTTTACATGTACCATCTTTATATTTTATCTAATCACCTTGTTCTTTTTCTAACCCTGCACTAGAATACTATCAGAGAAAATGTGTTTTACTTGAAGTGCCTGCTAAGTTTCAGGGGCTTAAAAAATACAGGGAGCATATTTAATGCCTTCAAGTGTGTAGATGTCTTTCTGTATGCTGTGAATATGTGTTGCTCTGATTGGTTGATAAATAAAGCCATTTGGCCTATGGCAAGGCAGCTTGGAGGCAGGCAGGAAATCCAAACAGATAGGAAGAGAAAGGAGAGGCAAAGCAAATGCTGAAAGCTGCTGTCAGGAGAAGCAAGATGTAAGGGTATCAGTAAGCCACAAGCCACGTGGCAAAGTATAGATGTATAGAAATGGGTTAAATTAAGATGTAAGAGCTAGCTAGCAGGAAGCCTGCCATAGCCATAGTTTAAAAGTAATAAACCTATGTGTGTTTATTTGGGACCAAGTGACTGTGATATGTGGGTGGGAGAGATTCCGCAGGACCTGATAAAACTTCTGGCTACATTCAAGAATTATGAAAAAAATATAAATAGTACACAAATTTCTCTAATGTCTCATGATCCAGTTATTGAGTTAGAAGAAACTGCATGAAAATTTAATCTACATGTGAATTTCAGTTTTAAACTCACAAAGCTAAATTATCAAATACTAAAAGTGGAAGAATGCCTTTATTATGAAAGTTTCCAATATGCTATCTCATTTAATAGATGTAGAAATTAAAATGTGGGTCAGTGAAGTTCTTTTCAGGTCACTAAATTTGCTACCAACACCATGCAAATTTCATGCTCACTTAACAGTCACAGACTCGAGACTCACAAACCATGTTTTAATATGTACAGTGACAGGAATCTACTGCTGTAAAGGCTGTCATAGTCTTCGGGGAGCAGGAATTTTAGAAACTCTTTCTCACGTGTAACCAAGACTTCGATACCTTTGTATCAGCTATTGATTCCTTGCTTTAACCTGTGTTTACACATGGCACATCTAGCAATTCTGGTCATGAAACAAGACAGAAGACAAATGGCAAAGCCATGGAGAAGTGAGGTAGTCTGTCAGCTTAGCAAAGAACTTTTCATAAGGGCCATAAATTTAACACTTAACAAGTGTCATATATGTGTGTGTGTGTGTGTGTGTGTGTGTATGTATATATACATATGAATATATATTGAGTTATCGTGACCGTATGCATTATAAAAGCATGTATTACACAGAAAGTATATATTTCATCCTGAGCAGAAGAATGAATAAATTATATAAAACAGAGTATTCAAAGTTGTTTAACTTCCATCTCCCTTTTGTTTATTTTCTACTTTGAGTACACCCTAAACAAAACTATATTCTACATGTTTTTGCTCCACAGCCCAAGTTCTACTGCTGTCTCTCAACAAAACCACAGTCTGCATGTTCTCAGGAGTGTTCTTGTGACTCTCCAAATAAACTGCCCGTGCTCTCTCAGTTATTTCAGGATCCACTGAAGCTGCATGGTACCAGAATATTAAATGTATTCAATACAGTCATAAATTATAGCCAGTAGAATTAAGCTAAACATTCTAGACATGTTCTTATTAGGAAAAAGCTGCTTGGCCCATCCCTTGGCACTCAAGAAAGCATATTTCTCCCCATTGAAGTTTTAGCTGCACTTGATTTTCCAGTAGTGATATCATATTGATATCAATATGAGACATTTTGTCATGTGTCCTTCATTCCATATTTATTCACTTGAGGTTTGCTTCAGATGATGGTTTTCATCTCCATATTCGATCTATGACTATTTTATTGTTTTGTTTTTAAAATAGTTTATTTACATATGCTTATAATTTGTTTGGATCAAATCTATCACCTTTCTTTTCTCTCTAATGCTTCTCCTATCCTCTCCCCACTTTTCCATTCAAGTCATGATTGAGTGCTCTCACTTGGGAGTTTCTGTGAAATCGTGTTATAGTCTTTAACATATTCAGGAAGTGAAGTTAGGGTTTTGAGGGAAAGACATAAATGTGGAGGTATGTTTCCTACCTATAAAAACCCGGGGGCACTTGCTCAACCAGGAAGTTCTTCTCCAGGTCTTGAAGGATGTCGTTCAGCATTCGGACCCGGCCGGGAGCTCTCTCCTCTGGGTCGTTAGCAGGCCGCATCTCATCTGACTGGAAGAGTTCAGCACTTTCCCTCAGCCGTGCCGCCATGGCAAGCAGGTGAGGGACACTGGGCTCATCAGCTGGTGAGGAGAAATGAGGCCATCTTAGGGGACATCTCATCACAGGAGCCAAGCAGACACATTTCCATCTTTGACTCTCTTGTGTAAATCAGATAGACTCCTGATGAGAGAGTGGCCTGTCATCAAAGTCCTGTCAGTTGCCTCCCGAAACCAAGGTTTATATACTTCAGTTAGATTCTAATAACATATTTTTCTACCAAACATATTGTCCAAACTTGTGTTTATATCCTTTTACATTAAGTGAATGGCTACTCACTCATGACAGAAGGTCAGTACTGATGATGGTTATTATTATATTACAATCACTGAATTAAGCCTCATACACAATTATCTTATTAAATAATCACCAAGTGTTGTTAGTTATACCATTTAAAAATTGTAAGCCTTGTTTATTTTACATAAGATGAGATTAATTAAGGCTCACAAATTAATTAGGTCACAAATCATCAAGCAAGTAACAGGGTTGAATTGGAACCTTGATCTTGCTGGCTCAACAGTCCTTGCTCACTACAATATTCCTGCATTTGAAGAAAAACATCTAAAAGATACATGCATGGTGGTGCATGCCTGCTTTGTCAGCATTTTGGAGGTAAAGGTAGAAGTATCTTAAACTCAAGGTCATTCTTGGTTACATAGAGAATATGAATCAACCAAAGCCACATCAGACACCATCAAAAGCAATAGATTAAAAAACATAAAAGAATGAAAAGAATATCTCTTCTTATAATTAGATGTAAAATATGTCACTACATGGTATTACATGCCTTGAGACTCTATTTTTTTCAGTAAAAGTTTTTATAATGCATATTTGAAATATATTTTTGACTTAATATACCAGAAATCATTATATATGCTGCTACATTTGTTTTGTTTGTTTCTCAGATCACAATCTTTTTGTTTATTCTTCCACTTGTTGGGCAGCTTATTAATGGGGATAGCAAAGCATCCACAGGTCCACTCTTTGTCCAAGAGAAAACTCATGTCTAAAACTAGTTGATTAGGAACTTTGGGCAAGCCTGCCAGAGTCCAGTGCCATGTTCTTAGCCCCTAGTATCTGTGTGATATTTGTAGCACTCCTGAACCTCTAAAACCTTAACTGTCAAATAAGTATAATAACATTACTTACTGCATAGCTTTTTCATGATGATCAAATGACCAAGCATTTCCCTCCAAGTAAGCAGATGTTATTTGAAACCATGTTTGAAAACATATCTGTTAGACGTTTACAAGAAAAATTTCAATGATCATCTCCTATATATTCCACGATTATTGTAGAACAATGGCTACTATCATTCTTAAGTGACTTGAGACAACTAACTCCAACAAAATCAACATATCAGTGCAGAGTTACTTCAAGTCAAATTGTTTCAGGAACATAGACATACAGTCTAAGTTTCTGTCACAGGAGTGTGGCACTGAGGGAGGCAGATGTGGGCATCCTTCTAAGGTTTTCATTGTGGTGAGTCTTGGGCAGAAGAAAATAAACACACACACACACACACACACACACACACACACACACACACACACACACAATTCTCCTGTGGAAATTCAAGATGGTCAGCTCCTCAGACACCTGGTATCTGTATAATTACAGACTTTTGTGCATTTTCTTTCATTTAGAGTCCAGGAATTCCCTTCATGTGCTAGCACACTTACTCTGCTCATTTAAAGTTTAAGAAGTCCTATAAAAATAACTTGGTAAGATGATAATTTATGAGAGAGATAGAGCTAATTCACAAAATATGACTCACAAAACCACTAACTGTTACTATCATGAATTTTAGAGTGTAGTTGACTGTGTACACTCAGCAAGTGCTAAATGAACAGAGTGGATTCAATAAGGCATGTTCATAAAATGTCCAAGACAAACTAGAATCATGTGACAGAGATAATGTGACAAATCCTCCCATTTATGTGTCTTTTTCCCCTCAGATAGAGAGGGGAGAGAGCAAGAGAGGGAATGGGAGTGAATTCTATTAAACTGTAAGCATATATAAAATGGTCAAATAATACATTTTTTTGTTCCATTTAATGTGTGTGTGTTGAGGACAAATTGTAGAAATCAGTTCTCTCCTTCAACCTTGAACTTTGGGAAAACAACTCAAGTCATCAGGCGTGGCAAAAAGTGCCTTAACCTGCTGAGCCATCACATTGGCCTACATTTAAAAAAAATTAAAACACATAATTCATTGTATAAATTGTATGAAAACATTTACAGACTGGCTTAAAAGAAGAATCTGAACAAAACACAAAATTTTAAGTATTGTATGTTTACAGATGTTGTTAAAATTTGTACAGAAGAAATAGGAAGCTGAAGATAATTTTTAGATCCTTGCTCACAAATAATGATGTGGTACATTCAACTGCAGGAGTCACCGTGTTTGGGCACTTTCTGTTTCACTAGGCATTCCACATTGATTAATTTTTGTGCTTGATTACACAGCAGATCATAAGGATAACATTTTATTCATTAATTCCCAAATAACTTAGTGGAATTTTAGAATGACATGTTTTTTCTTAAAGTGTGATGATTCACCAAAGCTAATGCATAAAATACTCAGATTATTTTTGCACAAAGAATAAAGGAGAAGGATGAAGTATAGAATTCACTGAAATTGAAAGAATGAGCAAAGAAAAAAAATAAGTTCAACATCTTTGAGATTCTTCCACTTAAGAAAGAAATATCTGTTCTGATCTACCATCTACTGCAGAATTGAAGACATTACTGCAGAATCAAGTAAGACAAACTGTACCATTCTCTCTTATTTAGCTTTAAACGAATTTATCTTTTATGGTACTGCAGAGAACTGACAGCTTTCGGAACTATTTAGTTCCAGAAAAAAACAAAAGTGGCAACGTGCCTGACACACAGCAGGCGTTACTCCAGAGTCAGAGGTCAGGGACTGAGAAGAAGCTCCACTTGGAATGCTCACCCAAACTTTCCAAGGCATAAATTATGCTTCAAGGAATCTTAGCAGCCATCTCCCTGACAATCAGTTAGAGCTTGTTATTACCTTTCAAACAGTCCCAGAAAGAAACTCCCCTATCTCTCTTTGAAATTTTGTTGATCCCAGGTGAAGTAACCCTCCATGTTTTTTAGATCTGAATGAGAATGTTAGCTGTATCACAGAAATATATTTGTCTGTTAGTTATAGTCATGTTCATGGTACCTAAAATTACACCAGATGTGTCAATTAATGAAGGAACCACTACATTACCTAGTAATATCACAGAATCCAGTTATTGGTATCATTTTTATCTCTTTGTGTCTGTTTCTCAGTTAAAAAGAAACTCATAAAGGAAAATACAATGTATTTTTCTCTATATATCTGGCTACTGCGGTAATAGCTATTCTACCATAATCATTTTAAAGAAAAGAAAACAACAATTGAATGTTGAGTTATAAGATAATGTCTTCTTTGAAATATATTGATGCATTACACAATGTTTACAAAATCATTCAGGGAGATATTTGGTGTGTAACAGTCACCTACGATACTATTTCCTTTACTTTCTAGATTTAAATGATTTACCTGAAAAAATGGAAACATAAAAAAGAAGAAATTATTTTAAGGTAGTAATCAGATAAGTTATATAACATTAAATCAAAATATTCCCCCACAGATCTTCTATAAACACTTCAAATTTCACTTAAGGCCTGGAATGTCAGAGAATGCAAAGCTGCTGGGGCCTATTATCAGCTCACTTTTAAATGTGATGTTTCCATTTGATTAAAACTATGCCTGGAAACAAAAGACTTCTCAGAAAGGAGGTTAAGATTATTTTAAAGCTATGTCCATGAGATCTACAAACCAATGATTTGATATCAATCAAAAGATAACAGTTGTATCTACATAATTACTACAAATGTGGTCTGGAGTAAATTACTTAATGTCTGTCCTTGACCACCCTTAGGGAAAATGGTCAATTAATTTTCTAAATGTGTATACCACTATAAATCAATTGCTTTTACTAGAATAGATAAATTGAATAATCTATCTCCAACTAATTTTTGAAAGAGAGAGAGAAAAACAACAATGTTTTCACAGTTCTCTGAGTTTAACCTCAAAGATTTTCTCCCAAATACTTTTCAGATCTCTGTCCCCCAGTGTCACAGTACTCCATGTTTACACATTAAGAAATCTCAGTTCATTCTGGGATGTCTGAGTCTGAAGCCATGTGTTCTTACCAAGGGCTGGCCTCATCAACCTCTGTGAAGAAAGAAAAGGATTGATATGGGTGTAAAGGAATGCAAGGTCAACCTTTAAAAATGATGGTCACATCGTTACCTCTGGTGAAAAGACAACCAATAATACATTTTTAGAGCTCTGTAGAAAATACTAGTTTGTTTTAAATGTTGCTTGATATAGTACATAATATTTAAAACTGCATACTAAAATTATGTATTCCAGATGTTTTAAGTTCTTCTACATTTTGAATGGAAGACTCTTGCATTTTCCATGCATCTCAACGTAAAATTCATGGACTTAGGAAGTTCTTAAGAAGTAATAATTTATGCATTCATATGTTAATGCTAGGAAATAGGTAAAGGCAAATAAGATTAATAGTTATAATAATGGGTGACTTAATTAGAAATGGACATAATACTCATAAACATGCAGTGTCAATTTCATGTGAAATCATTGTATGTAAGGGCCACTGATGCCTATGTGGATCATTTACAAAAAGGAAGAAAAATTTTGGAGACATATTTTGGGATTATTTTAAAATAGATTATGCCAAATGACTCTTGAAAGTTCTGGTACTTTTATATACTAAATCATGTCAAGGAAGTTTTCTACCTTAAACAGCAATATTAATGTGTCGGTACAGCTGCACTGTAGAAGACAAACTCTCCTCACTCAGGGAGTCTCCTGCAAATCTAGACCACTATTACCCAATAGCATCCTTTCCTAACTAGAGTATGGCTCCTAAGCAGTGTTGTATTGTGGATTGAGAGGTATATTAAGATCTAGCAAACCTAAATGCAAGCGTAA